AGAGGGGCAGGCAGTTCGACGAGTGGGTTGGCAAGCAGCTCACAGGAGGAGCGGCAGGGCTCCACGCGGTCACGCGAGTGGCGGTGGGCTGGCAGGGCAGCGACTGCAGCATTGATGCTGGACCCGCCAGCCTGAGCAAGGAGCTGGACGACCTTGAGAAGGAGTGGAGCAAGATCTGGAGGGTGCAGTGCAGCCACGCCGAGTTGGAGTGGCCGACCGATCTAGGTGAGCGCCCCCCCAGGCCCAGCTGCGAGGTGATGCGGGCAGTCCTGAGGTCCTTCAGGAAGGGCACGGCCACGGGCTTCGAGGCGATCAAGCCGAGGCAGCTGCTGGAGCTCAGCGACGAGGGGATAGAGACCCTCATCGACATCGTGGTGGCGGTCGAGCAGGCCGCGGAGTGGCCGCAGATCCAGAGCAAGATCGTGTTCTTGGCCAAGAGGCTGGGCGGCGTGCGCCCCGTGGCCATCGTGCACGTCCTCGCGAGGGTGCAGACGAGGCTACGCAAGCCCCTGTCGGAGGAGTGGGAGCGCAGGAATGATCGACCGTTCTTCTGGGCGGCGCGCGGCAGAGGCTGCGAGAGGGCAGTCTGGCAGCAGGCCGTGGAGTGCGAGTGGGCGACAGCGAAGGGGCGCGAAGCTGGCGATGCATCCAGCTGGGTCGCGGCCCTCATCCTCCTGGACCTGCTCAAGGCGTACGAGCAGGTGCAGCATGGGCGCCTCATCCAGGCCGCCCAGCGGACGGGCTCCCCGCTCTGGCAGCTCAAGCTGCAGGTGAGTTTGTACAGAGCGCCCAGGTGGCTGGCGCGGGACGAAGCCGTCAGCAACGCCATCTGCACCGAGCAGGCGGTGCTGCCTGGAGACGGGCTGGCGACGCTCATGCTCAAGATGCTGCTGCTGGAGCCGCTGGACAAGCTTCAGGAGCTGGTGCCCACGCTGGCGTTGTCGGTGGTCGTGGATGACATCATCTTGAAGAGGGTGGGCGGCTTCCAGCGGACAGTCAATGACCTCACGCTGGCGGCCAGGCATCTCAAGGTACTGCTCGGCGAGGCCGACCTAGAGATCGCGGTGAAGAAATCCAGGGCGCTAGCGAATGTGCCAGCAGCGAGGCAGGAGCTTGAGAAGCGCCTGATGAAGCCGCTGGGGGTGCGCGCCACGGGGCAGGAGAGGAACTTGGGGGTCGACTTCAGTGGGGGCAAGAGGATAGGACGGGCTGTTCGTCACGACAGGATGGCGCAGGCGAGAGGCAGGCTGCGCAGGATCAAAGTGCTGCAGGTGGTCAAGGCCAAGCGGAAGGCCACCAAGAGGATCGTGAAGACGGGGCTGCACCCATGCATAGGGTACGGCACGGCCATCACGGGCTGCACGGAAGGGGAGCTGGACCGCGCCAGGACCCTCACGTTCGTCGCGGTCTCCAACACCACGGCGAGCAAGTCCAGGTCGCTCGGGCTCATGCTCCAGGCTGGCCTCGACCCGATCTACGACGCGACCTGCAAGCCGGTGCTGATGTTGCTGCGTGCGGTCTGGGAGCAGTGGGTGCCGCTGCACATGGTGTGGCAGGGCCTCGAGGACAAGCGGCCCGTGTCCTGGGTGCACGTGCAGGGCCCGTGCGCGGCGACGGTGCTCTCCCTCAGGAGGATCGGCTGGGACGTCGTCGCCGCCAACCGCTGGGTCATGGACGACGGCGTGGCCATCGCGCCCTTCGACTGCGCGCCGTGGGTCGTGGCCAAGCTGATGAGGAGAGCAGTGCAGCGCTGGCAGTGGAGGCAGGTCAGCAAAGCCCCAGGTTGCGCGCACTTGGCTGGTGGCGGCGAGCTGGAGCCCCTGGTCAGGCTCACCTCCTCTGGCTGTGCCAGGAAAGCCGAAGAGCCACGCCGTGAGGAGGGAGCACCTCGCACCAGGGTTCGGTTGACGGCGCGAGAGCAGGCCTACCTGAGGTCCCTCATCATCGACGGGCAGTGGACTCAGGCGCGCAAGGAGGAGAAGGGGCTGGCGCCCAGTGCTGGGTGCTTGAGGTGTGGCGCCAGAGGCACGCTGATGCACAGGCACTTCGACTGCCCGTGCTGGAGTGAGGTGCTGACGATCCCAGAGGACTTGGCAGATCTTCGAAGGCAGAGCGGGAGGCCTGAGGTGCAGCTGCTGCTGGAAAGGTGCCTGTGGCCGACACCACGGGGCATCCGCCGCCCGCCAGTGTGCAGCGACGTGTGCTGGAAGGGCGACCACGAAGGAGGCACCCTTCCTGAAGGCGAGCTGTTTCTCGACGGCTCGGCGTTCGAGGCGGACTACGAGGAGGTGGCGGCAGTTGGCTGGAGTGTGGTGGCGCTGCAGGCGCACAGCGACGGCTACAGGGCCTCCATCGCTGGCCAGATGGAGGGCCACTGCGTGGACATCAACGGCGGGGAGCTCACGGCGGTGATCATGGCGCTCAGGTTTGGCCAAGGTGTCACGGTGCTGGTGGTCGACTCCAAGTACGTGTACGACGGCTTCTACAAGGTCGGCAGGGTAGGCACCACGGGCTACGCGTACACATGGGCGCACCTGTGGCGGCGAGCCTGGGACCTGCTGGACGAGCGAGGAGGTCTCGGGCATGAGGTTAGCCTCAGGTGGATGCCCAGCCACAGTACGCGGCGGCAGGTGGCGGCAGGCGAGGTGCTGTACAGAGATTGGTACGGCAACCGACTGGCTGACAGGGCGGCAAAGGCTGCGGCGGCCAGTGGGCGCCTCCCCGCGCGGGACAGAGAGCGCCTGGAGAGGAGCCGAGACGTGGTCGAACGAGCAGCCATGTGGTGCGCGGCTGTCGGCAGCTGGGTCGACGGCAGCGACACCACGCACGGTAAGACGAAGGTGCAACGAGCCCTGCCAGTGCGCAAGGAGCCAGCGGCGAGGATGGCCTGCGTCTGGCGGAGGCTGCCTGGCCAGCGGCCCTGGTGCGAGGTTTGCAGATGGTCAGGCAGATCCGGTGAGTGCCCTGGCAGCATCGTCGCCGAGGCGATCAGGGCCAACAACAGGCTGAAGGCGCAGCAGAGGGCGTCGCATGACCTGGTGCTCCTTGCGCCTGTGGATTGGAGGCTGCTGGTGCGCAGGATGCCGCTGGTCGCTTGCAGGGCGTGCGGCTTCACAGGCGCGGCCAGAGCGAGCTCCTTCCACCTAGAGTGCAGGAGTGTCCCGTCGGCTGCAGGTGCCGCCGCAGTTGCGAGGCTGAGGAAGGGGCTGGCTCCGAAGGTGGTCAGCGAGGTGGCAGTCAACATCACGGTGCTGGCGGACGACGTGCAGGAGGGGAGAGACCAGTCGCCGCGGGACATCGCGGAGGAGGAGGACGGCCACCCCTTGAGGCCGCCAGGAGGAGCTCCAGGTGGTGGGGCAGGGGAGGAAGCGGGCTCACGGCGCCCCCCGACCCCTGAGGGCCCCAGAGCGACGGCTGGCCTGGGAGGACGAGCTGGCGGCAGGTGTGCAGCCGCGGCGCACCAGGCCGAGGCAGGAGATGAAGCAGGGCCTGCGGGCGGCGGCGGAGGGCCACGCCCGCGGCGCCGCGCGCGTGTGCGCAGCAGATCGCTGAGGCAAGCCGCGCTGACGCCGCCCTCGAGGTCGCCGATGCGGGCGGCCAAGGTGGCCAAGCTGCAGCAGGAGGAGAGCCAGCGGACTGAGGCGGGCTCTGCAGAGGGAGGAGACGAGGTGGCCACAGGAGGCAGCGGCGGCAGACCGCCCCCGCCGATGATGGCGGACGACGCGCAGGAGGTGAGAGGCCAGTCGCCGCAGGCGCAGGACGTCGCGGGGGAGGAGGACGGCCACGCCTTGCGCAAGCCAGAAGGAGCTCCAGGTGGCAAGGAGGACGCGAGCCTCCTGCGGCCCCTGACCCCCGAGGGCTACCGCGGTGCGGCTGGCATGAGAGGGCGAGTGGGCGGAGGGCGTGCAGCCGCGGCGCGCCAGGATGCCGCAGGAGGCGAGGCAGGGCCCGCGGGCGGCGGCGGCGGGCCAGGCTCGCGGCGCCGCGCGGGTGTGTGCAGCAGCTCGCCGAGGCAGGCCGCTCCGACGCCGCCCTCGCTGGCGCCGAAGACGGCGGCCGAGGTGGCCAGGCTGCAGGAGGGCAGCCAGCGACCTGAGACGGGCCCTGCCGAAAGAGGAGACGAGGTGGCTGCAGGTGGCAACGGCGGCGGACCGCCCCAGCCACGCGAGGCCAGCGGAGGCCAGGTGCTGGCGGACGACGTGGAGGACCACAGCGCAGCGGCTGGCCCGAGCGGGCGAGCTGGCGGCAGGCGTGCAGCCGTGGTGCGCCATGCAGCGGCACGAGGAGAGGCAGGGGCTGCGGGCGGCGGCGGAGGGCCAGGACTGCGGCGCCGTGCGCGAGTGCGCAGCAGCTCACCGAGGCTGGCCGAGCTGACGCCGCCCTCGCAGTCGCCGAGGCGTGTGGCCAAGGCGGCCAAGCAGCAGGACGAGTGCCAGCGGCCTGTGGCGGGCCCTGCACAGAGAGGTGACGAGGTGGCTGCAGGTGGCAGTGACGGCGGACCGTCCCCGCCGCGCGAGGCCACAGAGGTCAGGCCGCAGGAGGAGGTCCAGCCGCCCGCAGGGGAACCTGCTGCTCGATGCGAAGCAGGGGCTGCGGGCGGCGACTACGTGGCCATGGAGGGCGAGTTGCAGGAGGAGAGGCTGCCGGCCGCAGGTGACTCTGCTGCTCGTTGCGGAGCAGGGGCTGCGGGCGGCGAAGGCGGCTGGCCGAGGCCGAGGCGCGGCGCGCGGGAGCGCAGCAGCTCGCCAAGCTTCGCAGCCAAGGTGGCGAGGCTGCTGCGGGCCGCGCGGGGTGAGGCCTGGCCGACAGCCTCGGGCGCGTAGCTGCGCCGAGGCG